GGCCCAAGGGGGGCCCAAGGGGGGCCCAAGGGGGGCCCAAGGGGGGCGAGGGGGCTGCGCCAGGGGGGGAAGGGCCCAAGGGGGCGGATCCCGGAGGAGGAAACACGGAAAAAGCGGCGGCCCGGCCAAGGGAGGAGCCGAGCGGGAGCACAAAGAAGGGCAGCAAAAAGGTCCTGGCGGTCGCTCGGCAATGGCGGGGGGGGGGGCGAGAGCGGTTTTGGGGCCCCCGTGAGAGCCGGGGGGGAACCCCGGTAGCCGCGGAGTGGGGAGAGCGGAGAGGGGCGATCCCGGAGCTGGGGGACCCCCGGAATGCTGGAGGGGGGGGGAGCAGGGAGGGAGCGCCGGGCCCCTTCAACGGGGGTCCCGGAGAGGGGGAAGCCCTTGGAGTGTGGAGAGGAGGGGGGGCCTTGAGGCGGGGTGGGAGCCGAGAGCCCCAAGAGGTTTGCGAGGGTGGAGCCGAGAGAGGAGGCCCGGCCGGCCCCGGGAGGCAGAGTGGGGAGAAGGGAGCCCTGGGACCCCCCTGGCAACACTAAAGGGGACCCCGGAGAGAGGGAACCCCCCGGAGCCGCGGGACCCCCGGCAGCCCGGAGAAGGGGACCCCCAATGCAGGCAGAAGTGGCAGCAGGGCAGACAGGGGGGACCCCCTAACCCCAGAGAGCAGAGAGGGGGAACTCCTGGGAGGGGTTTTTGGGCTGAATATTGGTGTTTCGTGGGTTTTTATGGACACAAGATGCCCGGTGAGTCCTAGAGTTGGACCTGGGCAGGAGGAACCCCCAAGGCAACGCGCTCACCCCTTGTTTTCCCCCCCATCAGGATTTCTGCTTCCCAAAGCTTGGTCGGATGGAGGAGGAGGCTGCGAGGAAGAGGAAGATGCCTTGGGCCCCCCAGGCAGGTGAGGAGGAAGTCAGTGCCCCTTTGGGTGGGTCTTGCTTTGCCGTCCTGCCGGGGCCGGAGTTGGGGGGATGTCCTTGGGCTTCCCTGTGGGCCGGAGGCAAATCCCCTGCGTGTCCTTGTTGCTTCCTGCCCCAGGCCCCGAGCTGAGGCCGGAGAGCCCGGAGGACAAATCCCCGCGGCAGAGCCTGGTGGGAGAGGCCGTTTTGAAGGGCTCCACGGCGCAGGAAGGCAGCGGGGAGGAAAAGGGCCGGAGATGCCCCCGGAGGAGGAGCTCCAAAGCCAGCCCAGGGGGCTGTGAGGAGGAAAGAGGCAGCGTGTGCCGGGAAGGCGGCCGGAGCTTGAGCCGGAGCTGCGAGCTGGTGGTCCCTGAGCAGCCTCCCAGCAGGGAAAAGCCCTTCAGATGCTTGGAATGTGGGAAGAGCTTCAGCCAGAGCACCAACCTCCTCAGCCACCAGCACATCCACACTGGGGAACGTCCCTACACGTGTGGGGAATGTGGGAAGAGCTTCAGGCAGAGCTCCACCCTCTGCACCCACCGTCGCATCCACAGTGGGGAACGGCTCCACACATGTGGGGAATGTGGGAAGAGCTTCAAACGGAGCTCCCACCTCCTCATCCACCAGATGATCCACAGTAGAGAAAGGCCCTACACGTGTGGGGAGTGTGGGAAGAGCTTCAGCCAGAGTGCCAACCTCCTCAAGCACCAGCAAATCCACACTGGGGAACGGCCCTACACGTGTGGGGAATGTGGGAAGAGCTTCAAACGGAGCTCCCACCTGTTTCGACACCAGATGATCCACAGTGGGGAAAGGCCCTACACGTGTGAGGAATGTGGGAAGAGCTTCAACCAGAGTGCCAACCTCCTCAGCCACCAGCTCATCCACACTGGGGAACAGCTCTACAAGTGCTTGGAATGTGGGAAGAGCTTCAGCACAAGCACCAACCTCCTCAGACACCAGCCCATACACACCGGGGAACGGCCCTACACGTGTGGGGAATGTGGGAAGAAGTTCAAACGGAGCTCCCACCTGGTCCAACACCAGATGATCCACAGTGGGGAAAGGCCCTACACGTGTGGGGAGTGTGGGAAGAGCTTCAGCCAGAGCGCCAACCTCCTCAGCCACCAGCTCATCCACTCTAGGGAACAGCCCTACACGTGTGAGGAATGTGGGATGACCTTCAGCCAAAGCGCCA